AATGCATTTGAACTCCTCATGGAACATCAGGTGGCATGTCTGATGTTCACAGTGAGGCTCATGTAGTCTCTGACAACTCATTGGATGTTGGCATGACTGAATTGATAGATTACAGTGTAGGAGTGTGGAGAGATGAAAACCGCCTTGCACTTGCCTCCCTTCTCTGAGAGGAGAGATATATGTTTTTCAGTGGAAGCCTGTGACTATGAGAATGTGCTGGCAGTGCTACCAGGGTCCCTACAACCACTCTGCCAGATTCCAAGGAAATCCAAGCAGAAAGGGTTCAGAATTCTAGGAGTTATTTCTATCAGGTGGTGCCATTTCATTTGGGCTTCTGGGTAAATTGAAGGAAACACACAGTAAATTTTAGTGGAAGAGAGCAAGCATTTTTCCTGGAGGGTCAACCACTAGGGATAGAGAATTGTGTGTATATAGGGGAGAATCCTGTCCTGGAGTAATTTTCCACCGTTCACCAGAATATTCACAAAAATGAGCATGCAATTTAGAGTAGTCAGCTTTCTGCTTATTAGATGAATGAATGTGGCACATCACCCTGGCTCTTGGAAGTGCCTTGGAGGAAAGTACTGTAATCCACAAGATGAGTCTAAATGACAGTATTTGTGAATTTTCCCAGCCAATGCCAGATGCATTTATTAATAAGGAACTGGACTGAGAGAGGAGGATGGGGAGAACAGGATGAGGCAAGGTGAAGGGCATGTTGGATTCCTGAATTGGGGTGATACGGAAAGTGGGGAACTTTATGTAGAAAAGGATTTATGTAATGGTAATGTACATACTGGTTAAGAGTGCAGACTCTAGTCATTGAGTGCCCTTGGCCAACTCCACTAATGTCTCTGCTTTAGCCTCTTTTAGGAAATGAGCAATAATGACAGCACTTTTTATAAGGCTGTTGGTAAGTTAGCTAGGTTATCAAATGTAAACTACTTAGAGGAGAGTCTGGCACATAGTAAACAACATATAAATGAGTTAATTTTAGGTACATCTTGGGGTTTTTCCCAATTCATAATGACCATCCCACCCAGAACCCTCTCTCCCCACTTCAGTGACATATCTCCAGCACCTGTGTGTTCAAAGAAACCCTCATCTTCTTTCTGCAAGTGCTCTAGGAGTTGGCCCTGGAACCAAGTAGTGACAGATGGAGAACTGACTCTTGAAATTATAAATTTGAAGGGGTGCCCTAAAGAGAGGGGGCAGAGATATAGGGAGAAAGAGGTTGACTGATTCCCTATTTGGCCTTACTGGAGATATACAAAGCTGTAGGGTGCTGAGAAACAAATAAAACTGGATTGCAGAGAAAGAATAATTAACAGGACACACAGAATCAAGAGATAGAGGGAAGTTCTGACTACACAGTAGTCCCTGGCTCCATTTCCCTCTTCAATGTTGACTGTCTCTTGCCCATAAACTCTGTGTGATACTCCTTGATCCCTAGACTCAATCCCCCTTTGAACGCAAGCTTCTTTAAGCTGGTGTTCTTTGTTGCAGTGAAGAGTTCTACCCATCTTTTAATTCAGAGAACAGAGTAAATTATGTATGATGGATGACATCTATATCCAGGAATTTCTGGTTATGATATTTACAGAAGCTGACGTTTAGCCATATGGGTTGAATTACACACCCTCACTAAAATTCACTGTGATGCTGGAAATAGAAAAATCAGGGCATGCTAAAAGAAGACAAGCAGAGGTGCTTTGTTTCAATATCTCTTCATGAACTAGCCAATATCTGAGATCTTGATATTTTATTTAACTTTTAGTAGATGTGCTATTTCTCAGTTTTACTCAGTATTTTCTAGGCTGGTTTAGGCAAATGGAGAATTTGTATTTCTTGGAATCTAACTGAATGGAAGGAAAGCAATTATAAGGCTGAGGTTCAAGAATAGGTCGGCTGAAAGACTTGAACATCTTGAGGATCTCAGTATATTCCCTGTCTCTGTTTCTCTCTGTATGTTGGTGTCATTCTTTTATCAATGGTAGCACACCTGATTCTATTCTTTTGCCTATTTTCTCTACATGGAAGATGTGAGCATGGGTTGAAGATATCTTGCTAGGCCATAAGGGCCTATGTTTTGACCTACAGTCCACAGACCAGAGGATTCATTAGTCTAGTGTGCATCAGGCATTCACGTTTAGGCCAAACACTTGTAGGCAGGGCAGACTAAGCACAGTGACTGGTTCTTCTTGGGTGAAGAGCTTACCTCTAGGTCCAACTAGCTCTAGGAAGGGGGCCATCAACTAGAATGAATATTGCAGAAGAAAAGATACAATATCTAGGAGAATAGGATGCTTTCTCTTAATGAAAACATTGGCAACTTTAATATTTGGAAACCCTCCATACATTTTGAAATCCATTCTCTATAAATAATAACTAAAATTCACTTTATAATTGCCTATTTTACTTTGCAGGGAAGTTCAGCTCAAAGTTAAAAATACATTTCTTGGTATCAGAACTTAGGGGTATGGACTGAGGGAGATAGTTCTTTGATCTACTGTTTAGTGATGAGCATCTTGGCTTACTATATTCCAGTTGTTTAACCATGGTCTTTGAAAAATTAAAATCAGTCTACATTATTTTCTTAAATTATCATGTTAAGTCTCAAAGTAACAAACAACTAAAATAAAGGTGTTGTGAATTTGTTTTTGAAGTATGTGTGTGTACGTGTGGAAAAAGAGCAATTCTTTAAATGGGATAAATAGGACGAATACTTATTAGTCAAGGATGTAATACTTGCTGATAGCAGGGAATGGACCGTATGACCTCCCTTTATCTGGATAATCCACTGAAGAGACACAGAGTTTAAAGAAGTAAATTCTGAAGCCTTAATGATGTTTACTCCCATTAAGCAGGATTTTAAAACATAGGAGCCTTTTATATTACCCTTTAGCCAAATCTATAACTGCATACTATTTTTAGGCAGCAGACTGATTAGACTATAAACTTTGAAGGTAACAAAAACAATGAAATGCAAAACTGCTGGAGCACAAACAGGAATATTATTGCTACTTGGAATCTTTCTCTAGTTTTCCTTTCAGTAGAATTCCTTTCTATGTGTCTAAGCTTTGACGCTTTTTTTTTCCCCACAAAGAGAGGTTGAATGCCAATACTACTCCATTTCCATCCTCTTCACCACCTCTCATAGCTCCCTAAAGTGCATACAGTGTCCCTTGTATGCGCACACGGCCTGATGCTACTACATCAGCCAGTGAGATGCTGTTATTTAAAATTTTGGTATTTTGTTCTTCATGATTTCTTTTGCATTAATTATGATTAAAAGTACTGCCTTAAGGGCCTCCCCAGTGGTGCAGCGGTTGAGCGCTGGGTTGTGAAGCTGCCCACAGCCTCTGCAGCGCCAGTTTGATCTCCGGCTGCTCTCTGGCCACTGGAGGGGGGTCCCACAGGGCGTGCAGACCTCTCCTGCCTCCCGCTGCTCCCCTCAGCAGTGTACTTCCGTCCTTCTGCCTGCTCTGCTCCCTGCTCTGGCTCTGGTGAATTCTCTCACCCTCCCGCTCTTCTGACTGTACCCAGTGCCTGTATAAATAAATATTTTTTTTTTTAAAGTACTGCCTTAAAATTATTTGTTTTGGTTACTGTGTTTTTGACATCATCCCCTTAAATTCACACCCAAAGTGAGTGCTTTTACTCTTGTCCTAGCCTGATAATGAGATAGATTTGAATTAGGGTTCAGTGTAGCCTCTTAACTAGCACTTATTATAGTCAGCCTTGATTTTACCATCTCTGAGACAGGAATGATAGTTGAAATGTCCTTGTTGAGATTTTGAGGATTGAATGAGAAGGTACATATAATGCATTTTGGATGCTTGACACAGAGTTAGCACTCAATAAATACAAGTGGCACAAATGGAAGTGACAGCAATAATATCACTCGTAACACTTGGGTTCATGGTCCCCCCACAGTGAGTAATCCCAATCCCAGAGAAATCCTATCCACAGGAAGACTTGGACACATACATGAGCAGTCATCAGTCAATGAACTGTTACAATGAAGGTTTATAGGTGACATGAAGGGAACACGAGTCAGGAGTACTAACCGCTAACTCAGAAAAGGTGTTGTAAGTTGAGTACTGAAGGTTGAGTAGCAGAATTTATTAAGCAGGCAAGAAAAAAAGGTCTCAGGTTGAAACACCAGTAGGCATAAAGATGTGAGGACAGAAAGAGGCTGCGATATTCAGAGGAAGACTTTCTCTGTATTAGGAATATAGGTTTCTGGTGGGAAAGTTGTGGGAGGTAAAACTGCTAAGGGTGGATATCATTTGTGATTAAGAGCCTTGAAAAACATTCTAAAGAGGTTAAATATTATTGTGGGGGATTCTACTGTGAGATCTTTGAGATACTCATACAAGAATTGTACAGTGGTAAAGGTGTGAAGGATGGGTATCAGAGAGGGAGGGGATGGAGGTAGGGATACCCATCAGGAGGCAACTGCAAGGCTCTGGCATGGGAGATGAGGCCTGAAACAAAGCTCCTGCAGTGGTGCGGGAAAGAAGGAAGGAGTTCTGATCCACATTTAGGAGGCAGAATCAATGAGCTGGGTGGCTGATGGAGTGTAAAGTGCTATAAAAAGGAAGAACAATTGAGAATGACTAGGTAATTTCACCCATAGTAACAGAAGAGTGAATATGTGAAAAAGAATAACTGTAGGTATGTGTATGTGGTGGGAGAAAGAAGATAAAGAACCAGATTTTAAATACATTCAACTTGAAATGTCAAGGTGAATGTCCTGGCAGAAATGCTCAAATGACAGTTGGAAATAGAAGTCTGGGGTGCAGAGTGTAGGTGAGGCTGGAGTTTTGAGTACTGATTAAACGTATGAGAAGCCCCAAGGAAGTAGAGCTGAGGTACTCATCTTCCCTCATTTCTGCTTCCCAGTTGTATCTTCTGATGGCTCTTATAATAATCAAAGTGCTTATCGGGGCGTGACTTTGACATGGTCCCCAGCAATGTCTCTAAAGTTTCCTTACCCTGGCTATCTGGTCTGCCATTTGGAGACGTCCATCCAGCTCTCGTCTGATCTGGGCTGCCTGCTCATCTGGATTGTCCAGCTGCACAAAAACACAAACATGGAGACTTTCAGTTTGGGTCACAAAAGTAAACAAACTCATGACTTTCCGCTTTATTCCCGCCCCTCCCGCCCCTATGTCTCCATGCACATATTTCACTAAAAGTTAAGAATCCTTTAACTAACAGATCCAGTTTGAGTGGAACTCTAGGTTATATTCTTTAGGGAGAAAATGATGTGGCAGGCAATTGCTAAGATGTTTGAATGACCTTGAACATGAATCACTTCTGAACTGCTAGGTAGCAGTTCCTCTAATGAGAATCCAACACAGCACCTCCGTTTTGATCCAATAGAGAAAGGAAGGAGATAGTAATGCAAATACTAGAAACATAAGGAGCAGATAGTGCATCTCCATAATGCTTAGGGACATTCATGATTAAACAATCATTGCTTCTTTCTCATTGGGCCTTGGGACCTTCTCAGCCACCATTTCAGATGGCCACTACCACTTAGCTGGTGTTGATATCCAAGCTTAAATTTATCCCTGTTTTCCATGATGGCTTAAGCTAACAGAATACAAGGATTGGAATATCCAAGCATAAATAAACCTGGACAGTTTCCTACCTTCTCTGGTTTTAAATTTCACAAGTATAAATCAAAGGGCAAGTTACAGAATCTCCATCCCTAAATCAATGAAAGAGATTGTGAAGGTCATGAGATCACTTTGAAATGACACAACTCTCCCAAGGAAGTGTGAAAAGACATAGACAATATGTAAATGAATGAGCTGTGTTTTTACAAATTTTACTTTTATTGAGATAACACTGGTTAACAACATAGTGTAAGTTTCAATGTTTACTTTACTTCACATACTGATATCTCATACTGGCATTAACATCACCACACCCTCTCCACCAAGGGTCTAATACTTGACCAATACAATTATATTTACAACAATGAGTAGCAGGTCATAGCTGCCGATCCCCGTTCCTTCAAGTCACTTCCTCATTTCTAAGCAAGCCTAGTATTATCTTGCAAACTGTAATTGAGCCTACTTCGTTCAGTAATTTATGATTAATTTCATTCACAGAATTTGCTAAGCAGTGAATAGTAGCATTCAAGTAGGATGCACTTTATTTTATTCCTCATTTAAGTATATCTACAACACAATACAAAAAATTGCTTAAGTATGTAAGTTTTCTAAGTTCCATTTTTCTAAAAGCCATTTTTATTCAGAAATTTGAAAATGATAAGCCAGTTCCATGCTCAAAAAAGAAATCTCATCTGTGCTATGAAATAGCATAGAAAATAAGTCATTTGGAGGCAACAAGAACACCAGAAAATTTATGGTCATACTTTCTAAGCATCATGATTAATCCTCTTTGGTTTGCTTTATAAAAACATAAAAATCCACCTGGCTTTATGTTGTGCATTTTAATCACCCTGTTCAGTTTCAGAGTGAGGGCTGACTTTTTCTTTTCTCCTTTCTAATGTTGTTTATTTTTTGTTTGTTTGTTTGTTTGTTTTTTTGAGAACCAAGATTCACAAACACTGCATTGCAATTTCTGGCCATGTATTATTCTAAGACAGTAGTTACCAAAAAGCGTTACCCAAACAACAGCTTTAGTAGAAACTTCAAAAGAAAGGTTTGAAGAATGGCTCCAGAAGAAACATGGTCAGATAGGTTTGGGAAATGATGGGTCTAAATGCACAAAGTTTCTGAGAAGTTCTGAAGTAAGGAAATCTGTGATACATTAACCCATTCAACTACTTACTTATTTATCATCTATGTATTTATTTGCCTATTTTGCTTGCATATGTAACTGGAAGAAGACATTTTAGTGTTCCCAGTGGCTTTGCACTTGGATATGAAGAAGAGTTGGATTTCCAGGAAAATTTAATAAAATCAGCTCACTGGAGCTTAAAAACAGTGTTGAGAATGTTGTTTCCCAGGAGTCTCTCCTCAATTAATTTATCGATCTATTGATTGTTATCTATTTACAGTTTTGTTGTTGTTGAGGTAATATTGATTTATAACACCGCATATGCTTTAGCAGTATGGGTTCATGCCTGTTCAGATTTTTGTTACCACACCACACCCACCACCAAAGCCCCTATTATCTTCCACCATAGTCCCCTAGGCCTGTCCCTCACATTTTCTCCCACTGCCAACCCCTTCTGCTAGCCTCATTTGAGAGTTCTAGGGTTTGTTTTTAAGTTTTTTTTTTTCCTGTTCCTTTGTTTTGTCTTTGTCCTTCTGACTTACTTTAATTAGCACAGTTCCCCCCAGTTCCATCCATATTGCCCCCAATAGCAAGATTTCACTTTTTTAAAAATAACTTAGTTTTCTATCGTGTATATGCATCACATCTTCTTAATCCACTCATCTGTCACTGGGCACTAGAGTTGTTTCCTAGCTTGGCTATTGTAAGTAGTGCTGCAATGAACATAGGAGTACATATGTCCCTTTGAATTAGTGGTTTTGCATTTTTCAGGTAGATAACCTATGAGTGTAATTGCTGGATCACATCAATCTATTTTTGATATTTTGTGAAACCTCCATTCTGCTTTCCATAGGAACTAGGCCAACCTACATTCCCATCAACAATGCATGAGAGTTCCTTTTTTACCACACATGTACCCACATTCGTTTCTGGTCTTTTTGATACAGGCCATTCTCACAGGCATGAGGTGGCATCTCATTGTGGTTTGATTTATATTTCCCTGATGATAAGTGATGTGCATTTTGTATGTCTTCTTTAAAGAGGTATCTATTTAACTCTTCTGCCCATTTTTGATGGATTAAAAACTTGGAAGTAAGATCTAAAACCATAAACAACATAGAAGAAAACAGGCAAAAGACTCCATGAATAGGCTTCAATGCTGTCTTTGGGGACCCAGCTACAAAGGCAAGGGAAACAAAAGCAAAAATAAACAAATGGTACTACATTAAGTGGAAAACCTTCTGCACAGTAAAAGAATCTATCACAAAAATAAAAAACCTACCAAATTTGAGAAAATATTTTCATATCATACATGTGATAAGGGGTTAATATCCAAGAAGGGGCGGAGGGAGGAAAGGATGGGCAAGGAAAGAAAGAAGGCAGGTAGGCAGGAACCCAATCAAAGGGTATAAGCCGTTAGAAATGGAGTCCGCTCTGCCTCAAACTGGAACTCTTTTGCTCTGTATATGTTGGTTTCCTTGTTTTGGTTTTCAAATTAGTCCTGACAATTAACTAAACCCAGTACCCTCACTTTGTTTCTAATATGCATGGCGCTAATTTGACACAGAGCCACCACTATGGGCCAGAGAAAGGTCTACACTCCATTACCTGTCACAACAGCCTGATTTTTTCTGGGGAGGCTGCAGTGCCTGAGCCCTCCTTAAGAAGTGATAGCAGCAGGTGTTTCCTTATCCTGACTCTGCACTTAGTAGCTGTGTGACCTAGGGCAAATTACTTAATCTCTCTGTGCTTCAAATCTCCTTATCTGAATAATCAGGTGAACAATGTGACAAATTGTCTGGAGGATTTACTGAGACAATGGATTCATAAAGTGCTCAGCCTAGAGGTTGGCAAGCAGCAAAAACCTCAGGAGTGGTTGCTGTTTGTGTTATCAGTCCTTGTTGGCTGTATTTCTGACATGGGTCACAATGGGGCATCAAAGAGTCACACAAGGTGGCGCCATATGGAAAAGTACCCCTCCTTAGTGTGGATGTGGGGTCTAGGTCTGATAGTCTTTGCAGAGAGGAGGTGGGTGATCAGGAGCTCCATCTTTAAACAAATTTCCCTGGCTTCCCAGTGCCTCCCACTTTCTCGAGGTCAAGTCCCTTTACTCTATTAGACTTTAATTAGCAGGAATGACCAGAAGGCAGATGCTGCTGCCTGACAGCTAATGATCTAAAGGGAGGATGAAATCAGAAATGCAACTGAAGCTCCCTAAAATAGCCTGGCATGATAGAGAAAGCCATCCTCCATGGAGGAGCTTGACAGCCCTACGGTATGAAACCCAAAAATATAAAGCGAAATCAAGTAATTACCTTTTCAAGTGCTGGAAAGGAAAAGCCAGAGAGTGAGCTTCCATGGAAACGAGGTCTGTTTACTGTGCTGGTCTTTTCCACTGAGGAAAGGAAAGATCAGCTGGAGAACTAGGTCAAGGGCAAACCTTTTCCATTGACAGCTCATTAGGGTTCAAAATGTACATGTGTGTGAAGGCTCTTAACCTAATTACACAAATAATCTTCCTACTAGCAGAGGTCAAACAGGCAGCATGGTTGTTTGAACTTGTCAGTCAAGCAAAAGAACTATTTCCTTCAGCCTTTTCTTTCAAATCATGGAGAACTGGACTCAGCACAGTTAAGTGTAGACAGATATTACATAAGCCACCAGCTCAAGCATGTCTGAGCCTAGGAATTATCTCCAGATCACTGGCTGTGCACCTTTAGTCAATGCAGGGGCAAGAACTTCTACCAGCATTGCTGTCCCATTGCTCTGTGCCTGCAGGACACTGTCATGGAGGACACAGTCCTGAGAGTCCTGCACGGGAGTCTGTGCCCAGCCATCTTACTCCTTGGTTGCATGACTTTGCCACATCTCTTAAGCTCCTTGAGCCTCAGTTTTCTCAACTGCAAAGGATGGATCATCATGTATCAGTCTGAATTACTTGCAATTTCCTTGCTGAAGAGGATCAAACAGAACCAGAGTCTCAGTTTCCTTGTACGTACAAGTTGTTAGGTTAGGATGACATGTATGTAAGTAGTGAGCATGGTACTAGCACACAGTAGGCCCTATAGTTAAGAGAATTTATCCCTGTTTTAGGTGGATATCATCAGATGTGAATTTTCCACACTGTGTTTTGAGATTTATGAAGGAAATCAGAATCAAAGGCAGGGAGCCCTGGTGTGAACACGAGGGGCCTGTTTTCTGGGCCTCGATTTGCCCTAAGTTGGGGGATCTTGGGTCAAAGTCATGACTGGTCCACAATCCTTTTCTCTGTGAATGATGAACCCTGAGTAATTATGTTTCAGGAGTCTCTGAAAAGCTT